CAGAAAACAAGCAAATCCCCCCCCCACAGAAAATCATCTGTTAACCATACATTCTATCTAGGTGCTTTCTACTTCTGCGTCCTGGCAGCAGCTGTATCTTGAACCTCATGTGTATCAGATCTGGTGGCAGACAGCACTATCCATCCTTTAATTCTCCAAACTCTATTCTTTTTTTTTTTTGTTCTGCCAGATGTACATCCTGCCTTTCTAGTCACTGCACTGTCCTTTTGGTAGTTGAAAGTTAACTTGTGAAAGTCAACCACTGTCAAATGGCTGCTTAGGAGAGCAAGACAGAACTTTATTTCGTGTGTCCTTTTGCTATCCTTCAGAAAGTTTAGCTTGGCAGAGTTTATTCTATGGATTTGGATATATCTGTTTGAAGAACAAGATCCATGTAATAGCTGAGAGCAGAACATAGCACATTCTCTGCTTTTTCTTCCTCCTGTGTAGTCCGTATCCATCCCAGCACTTTCTGCTCTTTTATTCCATGGCACATCAGCAGCTTCTTGGCTGTTCTGTTTACACTGGACTGCGTGAGAATTTCAAGGACAAGCACATCCCCAGATCTCATTCCTTTAACACTGTTAATATGCCAGAAGTTGAGGACGAGATCATCTCCACAATTCAGATGAAGAAGTGAAAACGCAGGGTCATCAGCTGATAAGCCCATGATCTTACAGCAATAAGAATAATCTCTGACACTCAGACTTGTTGTTGTTGCCATTTTTCTTAAAGGGAAACGTATTTAGCAATTATTATGTTGCTTAATTTAAAGAAAACTAGATTTATTATTTGCATTCAAAAACACAATCTGGGAGACATTAAACTTTCACTTGTGGAGAACATCTTTTTCACATTAAACCCATTAGTTTACTTTAAAAGAACATATCTGAGAATTACAGACCTAAACATTTTACCACAAAGTAAGTTTTTATCCAACAGAATTCTTCCAGCATAGAAGGACATCATCCTCCCATGGGAGAACTGGGTTGTTTCACTGTTTCCACAGAATTCTAAGTTCTAATTCTAAACAAAAGGTCTTTGGCCTTTACACTGTCAGGGGGAGATTCCTCTAAGAAGCAAAAAGAGAGAATGATGGAGACAGTGCTGCATACTTTTCTCTGATGCTGACAGAGATTGTGCAAGCATTGTTCCATGGGTAATAGCAGAAAGGATATCTCAGGCTATGTCTATAGCACTTACTGTGTGTATTTTAGTACATATGATTTATCAGTTCATGGTCTTTATGCAAGAGAGCTCAATGCAGAAATAAAGCAAACACTTAAATTTTGAACTTTTAGGTGCAGCGGTTTAGTGGCCTTATAACCCACTCCTATGCAATCATGTATCATTTCTAATGTTAGAAGAATTAGAATAAAAGAAATAGAACAAAAAGTTTACAGATGTCCTATAGTCTTGCTGCCAGGTGAAGCTTGGTGACATTTGGCTCAGTGGTCACAGTGTTTGTTTTGTGCTTGCCAGGACTACATTCTCAGCTGGAATTAAAGCATGGAGTTTACCAATCTTCAGCACCCTTTACATGCTCATGAAACATAAGGCATAGCTTTCCCAGAAGTATTTCCAGAAGTTACACAGTCAAGACCATTTTGCATTAATGCCTGTAAGGACCACAGATTTCTAACAGATTTCTAAAAAATATGCTTCTTGAGCTTAATATAACCTCAAAATTTAGAAGGGGAAAGGATAAAGACTTATCAGCATTTGCAAGAAGTAGTTGGGTGAAACTCTGGGGATAGAGGAAAGTAATTTGTCTGTGCACCTATGCTTGGTAATTATCCTCTAAGCTAGCACTTTAAAAAGGCAGCATGTTGATATGCCAGTTTTATTTGAAGCATCTTCTTTACAGAGTGTCTCTTCTACTCTAAAATCCACCACCTCAGTTACTTACTAGGCACTTTATTTCTCACAGCCCACCCTGAAGACAGCAGGTGCTCTTCTGCAAATTTAATTCAGATCATTCCTCCCTGGAGTTCTGTGGTGGTTGTTCTAAATACAACCTCTGGATGTTCCACATACCTATATTTGAAAATTGTTTTCCAGGCATTTTAATTTGTTAGTGAATTTGAGTATTTAAAATCTTGAGAGATCTTTCACAATGTAACTTTAGGAAAATTCCTTAGGCTGAGATTTTCAAATCTGTCTTTTAACACAGAGTACATATTTAAATCCCTTTGGCAGCTTGCAAAATCTTAACCTTGGTCTTTTCATGCTTCAGTTTCCTGTTTGTTAAACTGAAGTAAAAATTTCTCTCTCAAGGGTGTTCTGAAAATTCATGATATGCAGGCTGTTCCTGCGATGACTGGGCAATATGCACAAGTGGATAAGTATCAGTTAGAAGAAGCACATGCGTTGTTTTGCTCTCCCCGGTGACCAGCTGCCTATTTAAACTCTTTTGGAAAAATTCAGTTATTTTTTATACAAGGAGATAATTTTCTTCTGTCACTACATAGGTTTTTCTAAAGGTGTTTCGCTGGTGGTAAATTTATGACATAGCATGAAGTGTAGTGTTAAGGCTAATACAGAGGATAGCTCTTCACTATTCCTTTGGATGTAAGAAGATGCTACCTATACATAGCAATTCATTTTCCAGTCTCAAACTCAAAAGGAGCTCAGTTAGTCGTCATTACAGTATAATGCCCTGAAACACTTCATTGTTAATAAGGACCCCAAAGAGTAAACTCTTATCTCTTGTACATTAAAACATTATATGATTTTTTTTCAATTGAAAAATTAATTTAGAAAACTCAGAACACTGTCTTAGCTCTCAATCTGATAACAACATTAGGTGTAAAAAATTACAATTCTCATTATGCCCTTTAGAACTGTAGATAATGTAAAGAAATCATGCCCAGAGTCTTTCTAGCTTGTTGAGAAGTTGAAAGAGGGGGATGGATTTGTTGTGCAATATATTTTTTCCTGATTATAGGCATGTGATGGTAGGAGGGAGATGGTACATGCTAAAAAGCCTGGCTTCTTCATTCATTGTGAGCTAATTCTTATCAGGAAATGGCAATCAAATAATTGCAGTGACTTCTGTGGCCCAGGAGAGTCAGCCATTGCTTTTCTGTTTTGCTTTAGATCTATGCACCCTTGTTCATGGCATGCCATGAAGTTTGCACAGCAGTGTAACCTCACACAAATAAACACCAGTCTGTGAAAGAAAGAAACACCAGTATTGAAGAGAAGACATGGGAGCTTCACACAGCATTCACAGATCTGCAGGGTTCTTTGCATGTAAACGATTGCTTGAGAGTACAAATAACAGTTAAGAGAGTTCTTTGCTGCAGAATCTCATTTCAAAAGGATTTATAAAATTAATGCAGTCTGTGTTTCGTGATCATAAACTACCACAATTACAACTCAGTGCTCTGACATATGTTCAGTGTGAAATATATGAATAGTCTTTTCTCAGTGAGATTACTTACGCATTTAATGTTTGCAGGATCAGGTCAAAATCGCATTTTACAAACATTTACATTTGTGCTAAGAAAACAACAAACTTTCTCTGGTTGAGATAACAGATAATTATTGCTTTCTTAGGCTGTAAATTCCCATTGGTACAAATGAACCTCTCTTTTGGAGACAGTTTGCATCCTGCAACAGATATGTTCATTATCTATACCAAAAGCTCTTTAGAATATTAATCGTGAGAAATTATGGAAAGAGCATGTTTATTCAGCTACAATATTTTCAGTATAATGGATGGGTGTTAAAGAGTGTGTATTTGCAGTAGGGTTCTTTGGAAGCAACCTTTATTTGGGATATACTTGAAAATTAAATTACTGATGCAGACAAAAGAGTTCCTGCCAAGAAAAAAAAATCATAGTGGGGGCACAGTAAAAATGTCATAACGAATGCTGTTTTATTTGACTGTGAATTAAAAAATGTTTTTCATGAGCACATATTCACATCATTTCATCAACTAGAAAAATGAAAGCCCTCACATTAGCATATTCTGCTTAATTCTGTGTTGTTTTATCTTACACTGAAAATCAAAATGGATTGTTTCTATATATTTCAGTATTTCTGGGAGTTCATGCTCTTGAATAGATATTTTCACAAAATCTGAGCAAGATAAAGAATCATTGCTCCATTTCACAGTTATGGGACTGAGGTATAGGAAGAAACTGGCTTGTCTTCACTGAATAATTCTTAAATAGAGCTATGATTGATTATTGATTTTTAATTGGACACCCAAACAATTTTCCAGGCTGGACATCAATAGTATTTCTAGATCGAGCCATTCAATTGAAGTGAATTGGACTGCAGGTCAAGTGCTGCTGTTAGGGATACTTAAAATTGCAGCATCTGAAGCCTGTATATCATTGAACTCATCCCTCTGGGTAGCTTCAGTACACCTGAACAACATACTTACTCTTTGTTCAGCTATGCTAGTTGGAACAGGACAACTTGATCATATTAACTAAGTGTGTAGTGAAGGCAAGCCATTAAGTGACTTTTCTAAGGACAAAAAGAGGAAAGCAGGCTGGCTCTTCTGAATCTCGCCTGTTTTCTCTCTAGTAGGTGAACTGAAATCTTAATGCATAGACATTGCTGAATGCTTTTGAACTGATGCTAAAAGGCAGTAATTCTTCTGTTGTATATTTTTCATTAATGATCGGTGTTATGGGGGAGGGAAAAATAAAGAAAAAAAGAAAAAAAACATCAACAATCCCTCCCATGACAATTTGTGAAGGTTTCCCTTCAACTGTAAATATTATTGCTGATGATGTTAATGAAGACATTAGTTTCACAGCGTTTGAAGTACTGAAACACTCCAATGTTAACTAGCCTAGTGGGGTTTATGCTAATGTAATATGTAATAAAGTAGAGGCCACTATCTCTTTAAGCTGAAAGAAAGGAAACTTGTTTCTGCTTCCAAGGGATGCCTAGTGTGTGCTTATCTAATTGACTGTGTATTTTGTCTAGGTGTTGAGGGAAAGCTAAGAGAATGAAGGCTCTAAGTCCCCAGTGGAAGCATGATATGGCGATGCAGTGCTGGTGCTGAATTGTTCTCTCTGATGGCTCTATGGGAGTGGATAGCACTGAGTCTTCATTGCTGGGTTTTAGCAGTTGCTGCTGTTTCGGATCAGCATGCCACAAGCCCCTTCGACTGGCTCCTCTCTGATAAGGGACCCTTCCATCGTTCACAGGAATACACAGATTTTGTGGACAGAAGTCGACAGGGATTTAGCACAAGATACAAGATTTACAGGTATGAAGCAAAGGGAAAGCAATTGCAGAGATACCATCCTTAGAAGTTGTAAATTACCAACAAGGGTTTCCTTAAGGGAAAGTTTCACATGTGGGAATAAATCTGCAGACACAATTCATGGCTGAAATATATATTGCAAGGTCAAGTATATGCACAGTGTACTATGGAAATGCCTTCTTGTGTTGTTTCTGTTTTGTATAAAGAAATGTTGGTAACTCACTGTGTTGTTTTGGAGAACATTGGTGTTTACTATCTGCCTCTAGTCTGCCCTAGTGACATACTGAAAAATGTCCTAAGGCATCCTGAGGCATTCAATACTTTCTCTGGGGTTACTGTGGGGCACTTTTGTTTGAGCAGAAAGATCCAGTTCAATTGCTTTTCAGAGCTGCTCATCAAGACTTAAGCTAAGAATGAAATTGTTGCTTCACAGATACTACTGGCAAAGCATTGGCTTCATTGTACAAATAAGGGCATTTCAAATGTTACTCAAATGTTCTTTTGTATACCAGTTTATACCAGTGTTTTAGAAGTAGCTTTCTTATTCATGAAGGACTGAGCTTTGAGAGCCCTGCTATTGTAATGGGAGCTGGAAGTATTTGTTCCATCAGGAACCTCAGCGTTAGCCTGGCCCAAGTCAGACTGAGTGAGGAAAGAAAAAATGGGAAGACTACTTCAAAAGTATAGGCCTGCTTGAGAATTTATGCCTGGCTATAGAATTGCTTTCATGGTACATTTGGAAGCTGTTGGTTTCTGGTCTTTGAGACAGCACTGATGAAATATCTTCTTAATCATTTGCAAGAGGCATAACTCGGGAAAACCTGATAGGTTTACCAAGGACATCAGAATGAAAAAGGGAATTCAGTTTAGTGGTAGTGAGCGAATGGCAGATAGATAGAAGGAGAAAATAAGATCTGAGAGAACAACTCTATAAGCAGAGATTTTTTTTTCACCTTTTATGGTCATAGATCCCTCTGGAAGCAAAGAGAAAAAGGCCACAGGGATGCAATGCAGGACAGATTGTTACCATCTCTAATAACTCTCCAGCCTATAAACACAGACCATTTTTGGTGGAACAACACATGCTGATTTCATTTGAAACAATGAAACAGCCTGTGCAGTTTCTACACCTACTTTAAACTATTATTCCATAGAGGTATGCAGTTCTTCAAAGAAGAGAAGAGTGCTATATGTGTTCAGGTACATGCTGTTTTTCAGTTCAATGGTCAGTGCCCTGTGACAAATCTGGAGGACTCAATACATTAAGCTTTTATTGTTAAGGAACTTGCTTTGTGTTTCTTTGCTGAATGCATGCAGTAGAGGGCACTCTGTTGCAGGTCAATTTTGCAGTGGG